ATGGGTAAATGCGTTATGTGCTACTACTGATCGGATGGTTGTAGTCTACTCAACATCGCAGAAGTCATTGTTATACATGTTTGTATGTATGTATGTATGTATGTATGTATGTATGTATGTATGTACGAATGCATTTCTCCAGTTATTTACCTATATAAGGGATAAGGGATGTTGTATGTAGTACTTCAATCGTTATTTGAAAAATTCATGGGAGCACATTTCGATAAAAGAAGTAATCTTGTAGACAATTCCTATTAGGTACTTTGACTATTAAACGTATCTTACCGAACACATTTATATATCATATCGTAAGACGACTATTTCTCATCTTTTATATTATAAATTAATAATACGTTATTCCCCTAATACGTGTAGGGGTCCGATATTTGACTTACAAGAAAGCGAAGACATGATTATACTTTATGTATCATTATGTACATGCACAAGTATAATGTCATTATATTCAAAGTTTTAGCAAACATTTAAATTTTAAGGAATTATTTTTTATTTACGTTTTTGTAACTCTAAAATATGAGTGCATAGTTATATTTCGTAGTACAAATATTGGACGTGTTTAACGCATCCCAATTACGCTACTTAATATTTCAATACATACAAAAACTTGTATAGACAAAATAAAATGTGGGGTCTTATTTCAATTCAATTGAACTAGCTGAAGTTGAAGATTTTGTAGTCTGGGTAGGACGATTCCTAAATAAATAGGTCACACCCGTACTGCGTTTAATAACCTCAAAGGCAAGTGAGGAAAAGCACACATTATTTTAAAATTCCAGATTGCTGCCAAATTTTTATTTTTAGCCTGCCATAGTGAGAAGGCAAATTTCTCATTTCGAGCGAATAAAGTTTCAAATCTAATCTGATGTACTAATTGATCTAGTGTACTCATAATATAACTGTATTCTCTTAAGACACTTGCAATTGAATTTAAAATCCAAATAAGTGCACTACGGCAACGTTGCAAGAAAGTGAGGTCGTCGGGTAACCCGACGCAAGTCCCGGCGCTCCTTAAAAGGCTTCGACGACGATGCCTGGCTTAAGCCAGATCAAGACTCTTGGTAAAAGGAATCGGACACTGATAACATAAGCATTTACTCTTAATTTTATGAAATTATGGAAATTGAGTCTACTCGAACTCTGTATAGAACCGCTGAGAACGGCTAGCTATTCATACTTACCACTACAACTACAATGGTGCTACTTGAAATGACTTCAATAATTAAACTTATCCATCTCTCAAAAACCATTCATTGGCCATCAGAATAAAATGTATTTTCAATTTTTCTTTGAATGCACGCATCCCTAATATATTTTTAAATCAGCAAACGCTCCCAACAATCGTAAGAGCTTTAAATCAAGCTGAAAAGTTTTAGAATCTAAGAATAAGTCTTATGTATGTAGGTAACAAACTGCTATAATTATATGTCAAGAATGAATAGTGATAATATGCGATTTAAGGTTACAGACATATTGGCAAGAAAACATTAGCGGCAACAAAGGGATTATAGAAGAATACTCGTATAAATTCGTCGTTTCAATTAAAGAACCTTTTCAGATGTTATTCATAACTGTAGCTTCAAGTTTACTGTCTAAATCAGACCAAAGACTGGCCAAATCTAACTACATCTATCATCTATATAACAATTCGCACGTTCTACGCGGTTTTCCGTAAGGATGTTTAGAATTTGGGAATAAAATCCGTCCCTGTTTTACCTCGTTCCTGTTCTCTAAAATTTGTGGCATCTGGCTTTGGTTGTTCCGCCAGATCTCAAAGGTGAGTAACCAATAAAGAAGGCACAGTTGCCATCCATAAGACATTTGTTACTTCCGGTGAAGGATGGTCGTTGACTTTACCAGATCCACATCCAAGAATGCTGATAATTTTGCATAGGTTAGCGCCGTCAAACGCAAAATACATATTATGTTTGTGTTCGATTTGAGCTCATTTGCAATTTGAACTTTTGGAGTCTTACCATAGTATCTACTCGTAACCATAGATCACGCTTTTTCTGTATATATTTTAGTTGTAGAGAGCTGAACGATTCGTTAAATAATCTTCAGATAGAACGGAAATTAAAACAAAGTCCACATCTATCTCAACACAAGTAATAAATTTGTAGAAAAAGTTAGTTGTTCTATACTTAGATTTAGGCACGTGTGCAAGCCAGCAGCAGCACCAGCAGGGAGCTGAATGGTCCTGTGTTGCCAACTTTGGGGTTGCTCTATCCAGGTCTAAAATTGTATATGCTCCATCAGATGTACATTCCTACATTCAATCTATCATTCTCTCCAGTTTTGTTAAAAATTCTAGTTTAGTTTTTAACTCAAACTACGGCACTTGCTGTTTAATTTATGTTTTTCAAGTCAAACTTTTTAGTTTAACTAATTACGCTGAAGTAGAGTGCAATTATAATGATGTTGTAACAAATCTCGAATGGTACACAAAGATAAAAAACGCGAGCTTACAAAAAGTTTTTTGTTTATTTTATAAAAACTTCTTGGATCGATCTAAATGTATAACGTAATATTTCTTTTTCCAGTTTGTATTCGATCATTTAGTTCTGCAAGACTGTTTGTATTTTTGTATTTATTTTATCTATATTTTGATAAGCGTTAGAATTGACATTAAGTTATAAAAGTTGATAGTATTGCAACTTTTTGTTATCCAGTACTGCTTTTATACCGTGTTTTTTCGTTTTCCTGATCCAGTAAAGCGCAGTAATCAATTTGGATATAGAAAGGAATTTCTACATGGACTTCTGCGAGTCATCAGCATAATCTGCTATAATTATGCTTTTCAAATTTTTCGTGTAAGCGTCTACCCATATTGGCTCAAATAAATTGGGCATAATATCTATAATTTGTTGTTAATTTTTCTTTCACATGGGGTTGATTAATATTATGGATTATAGATCTGGCAACGATGTTGAAAGTTGATTTTGTTGGCCGGGTGCCATGATCTGACAAGGGTGAGGAGGGGAAGGCGTCACGACGGCTGCACCGTTGACTCATGAATCCTGTTGCCAGATTATTTCCTGTGATGGTTGATCTATCTGTTTGTGGTTAATGGAATAATGGAAAATATAATTTTCACGCCATTTTTTAAACATGATTTTGCATGGTATTTCGATTAGAGCTGTTGAGCCATCAGCCAACAAGCCGAAAGTGTTAACTTCATAACATCACTTCAGTCCAAGCACCTTGATATAACATCAATTACATAAATAGTATAATATATATTAATATGAAATACATGTACAATTTGGCAAAGCGAACAGTTTTCGTTTTCGACATATTGAAGCTAAAACTACTGTTTGAGATGAAGACCAATTTGATCCTGTCTTGACAGGAGCTTGAGTTTGATTCTTGTTGTATTAACTATTATAAGAGCGTTTATAAAAAATATTTCAGGAAATAACTGTTTCAAAATAAATCCGCGTCACTAACTTTCATTCATAATCTTCTTTCTATATCTTTGCGAGGAATAAATTTAGAAATCTATTGCTGGAAATAAGCAACAACACATCACCATCCACCGTCATCATTGAAATCATTACATCGCTAATTATGTATAAAAATATTAGCATTAAAAATGGAGTGTCAATAACAGTTTTTTGTTCTATTTGGTTTTAGGTCCAATCGGTCTGGACCTTTTTCGCCCCTACACCACAATAGAAACGGAATACTAGGTAAGTAAATTTCGTTTCCAACAACGTAACGTTTTAATGCTGATCTTATCGTCGGAGATACGTATACGGTTAAATTGGTAAAAAGTTGCAAAATTAATAGACCAATAAATGGAAGTTTGTGGAAACTTTTGTAGGGTAGGTGTTTGTTGTTCATGTTTTACCTCTTAAGGTTTTCGACGCCCCACAACCCAGGAAGTACTAATGTAAGGAGTTTTACACAAGTCGTACTTTAAGTGTGACAGCCTGGAAATCTATGGATGTTTGAAAAAGTTTTTTAATCGTAAATTTAACATCGAGTCTATTACTGAAAGTGATAACGTGTCATATTCAATCAGATCAACATGTACATATATAATCTAACCTGCTATTTAAAATATGTGCCTTCACCCCTTTTTGATTTATGACTTTGACGTTTGGTGCAAAATTTTTAGTCCTTTTCGGATTCAAATAAAATCTGATAATTTGTAAAAAAACGTAGATCTGCTGTTAAAAGATGGGATTTTGGACGGTTTTGTCTGGTTATGGCGTTTCTGTATTTTACAGTTGATAATTCGTAAAATTTCAACATTTTGGCCCGCTGCCAAAATTTCCGGCTTCAAGGCCTTTATTACCAGAAATGTGAGTATGGAATTTCAAAGTTTAGTCGGTACTTAAGTAAAAATTCGAATATTTTACTTAAGCATCAACATTTTGTGGTGTTTTTGTTGTTGCACCAAAATGCAAATAATAAAATCATACAGTTTTCTCCTATTAGTCAAGCAAAACATTGCCAGCTGCCCTGCTCAAGGCAACTCATGCATTGTCGCTTATTGACTAAAAAAGTTCAAATTCATATCTTATCGTTATTGTCTATTTACATTAGAAATACGGATTGCAACAGATAATATACAGCCAATTTCATCTAGGCATAATTTGAACGGATTATTTTTTAAGTATAAAGCGAACAAGTAGTTTGGCTGTGTATTTGATTGAACGACAATGATGATGATGAAAATATTGGAGTACAGTCTTATTACACCTACCTATATTCCGATTCTCCCAGGGATTTATTTTCTTTCCTGCATAGCTCGATTACTGAATATCTCATATTTCTGTATGCTCCGAAATACACATCAAGTGAGTTTGATTTCAATCATCAATGATTCTACATACAGTTCGGTTGACAACATATACATAGAAGCCTCTCGTTTTTTTGCCACTGAAATCAAGTCTGCTGAAATTGTCCATGAAATTATTTATGTTTATTTTTGAGTCAGTTTTAGTCTTTTTTTAACTTAATTTATGTAAAAAGAATACTTCTAGTGTAACAATGAACAAATTCAATTCATTTTAATTAGCCATAAAGCCAGTTTCAACGCTGTTGGAATGAAAAGTGGACGAGTCTGTATCCTAAAAACGATGATTCGGAAAAAAACGATTGAAACTGTTTCGAACAGACGATAGCAGGAGCGTGTTGCATTTGAAACAAATTAATTCTGTTTGAAATTTCGTTCGGTTGTAGAAGCTCCGAACGTCAGTTCGCTTCATGTAGTCAGGGCTAGAGAGGCACATTGAAGCCTTCGTTTCTTCAGGAATTTAACCCCACACGGGATGTTTCAGCTGACTCCTCGGAAACGTAAAAAGCGATGCCTATGGCGATTGGTTGTTCCACGCACGTCACTCACGTCCTGCAGCCAATCACAGGAAAAACGCAGTGGCGCGCCACACAGAACCTGGTAACTTGGCAGGAGTCAACGGGAATTCGAGGCCATGTAACGTGGTGCGCGTCTTCCAATCCCCAGTTGGGTTTTTAGTCGTGCTCTGTGGATTTAGAGCGGTTTTCAGTCTCTCATTTCAGGTGAAAGTCTGAAACGCGACCGCGATCACTCTTGTCTCCCGACGGCTTTTTTCGATTTAAATATTCGTATTTATTTTTCAGTGTTGTGTCATGTGATAAATTCACTCTATTGCAGAGGTGAGTTTCTTTCGTGACTTTCTGATAACATCTAACCCAATACTTACAATAACATGCATTATTCATGTTCGTTTTAATACAACACGAACAATCAGCCAAATCTAAAATAGTAGATACTTTAACTTTAATACCACGTGGATGTTGCTGATATATTCCACTGGGGCGCTTCATCCATTACATATAGTTTTTAATTCACAGTATTTATGAAAAACTGTTTGTGCTTTTTCTGCTCTACTATGCAGTTCAGTGCAACAGTATTTTCATATGCAAAGTGACGAAAAACATCGCTTAATTTATCTGACGTTTTATGGGTAGCAACCCATTAATGCAACAATTTTGGAAACTTATATTTATTTATTTTTATCCATATAATTGGCAAATGAACCCTATATATGGCATATTTTCGATTACAATGGTTTATCGATAAGTTAAAAATAAAATGCCAGTTGCTATTTGAAAAGAAACTAATTTAATTTGAACATTTGTTTTCTGCTTACTTTGGATAATTGTTGATTACCTATCAGTTCCTTAATTTTACAATTCTTTTCATGCGTTTATTTTGAAACATGTCTGACCACACTTTATAGTACCCTGTACTAAATTAATTGATTCTTAAAAGTTTTCAACTATATGTGACGACGACCAGAAAAAAATATCTTTCGCGCTTTATCAGAAAATAGCTTAAATTCTTCATGTTCCATATGAACATCCAGTAATGTAAGTACGCAATTATAATTTGCAATATGCGTATGCTGCATTGTGAAAAATAATAATATCTGTTTTTTTAAAACAATTTTTACTACAGGATTATTAATGAGAACTACCATTCAATATATGTAACAAGTAAATATTTTTAAAGCAGGTTAATAATAACACTCACAGTTTTGGAACTGCATTTTGACATTACAAATGCAAGTACTTTATCAGTTGAAGGTATGCAGTGATAAGATTCAAGATCTCACTATTTTCGAATTGTAAATTTTATAAACATTTGTGCCCATTCACGGTGGGAGTAAAATTATCTACAAAGTTTTAGCTTTTCCTGTAGAGGGCTGACTTTTATAGCTAGTTGTGTTAATATTACCCAACATTTCCTAGGGCAGATTTTAAAGCTTTAGTTTTGAGCCATTTTGAGTGTAGCAAATGAGTAGGGTTTCATTGTGAAAATTCAATATCAGAAATTCCCAGCTTCTATGGTAACTAAAAGCCGTGGGCGGTACGACACTGTCAAAGGGCATTGAAAACGCAATTATGGGTGGCAACAGTGCTTGGCGGCAGCACAGCGCCCTTGCGTAGGAGGGCACGCGGCCGGCCTTGCCCTCGGCGATCGATTTCCACCCCTTATCCCTCTGATGCCTTTAAATCAGGTCAGTGTGTTTGCCGGTGGCCTATTTTCTTATCAATTTCCCATCTTCGGGTAGCAGTTCCATCGCATGTGCCTAGGGACTCTGTTAGGGACTTTCCTCTAGGGACTTTGAGACAAATCTTGTGATGTCAAAAATATCACTTGGCCATTTGTCTATATGACCGCAAAAATCAACTTGCCACTCATGCACGGTTTTGATGATAATGCAACGTTGTACTCGACTTGTGGTGATTTATTCAACTTTTTCTTTAATAACGAACATTATTAAAACTTTGTCGCAAATGTTTTATTTAAGCAGAATTAAAAAGTCGATATTTCGATATTAAGGTGGTATTTCCGAACTTTTTGTATTTAACTTTTATTAATTTAATAACTAAATTTGACACTCTATAGCTTCTTGTTAATTAAATTTTAACTTTAAAGTTTATTGTCAAAAGTGTTATTTATCGTTCTCTCTTGCAGATTGCTGTGAAAACCGAGTAATCCGGATTGGAACACACGCAAGAGTCGTTAGACTCGTTTTTATCCGCAACGGGTTTAGTCTTAATTTATCCAAAATTGCTGCCATGGGTCGCAAAAAAATACAAATATCCAGAATTACAGATGAACGAAACCGGCAGGTATTTAATATTTTTATTTCATTTTCATATCATATATATGTATATATTTGCTGTAGTAATAAGCTTTATATCCTTTTTGTTGGAAAAGCTATTTGATTGGGAGAAGCGTAAAAGCAATATTATCTTTTAGGTAACTTTCAATAAAAGGAAATTCGGAGTGATGAAGAAAGCCTACGAGCTGTCAGTTCTTTGTGATTGCGAAATTGCCCTTATAATATTTAGCAGTAGCAACAAATTATATCAGTATGCCAGTACGGATATGGATAAAGTGCTTCTCAAATACACAGAATACAACGAGCCCCATGAGTCGTTGACCAACAAAAATATTATCGAGGTACATCAAAACCAGCAGCAACTTGCCAATAATACTCGGCTTATGCAAAATTGATAACTATTTACGAAATATTTTCATAATTCAATTTAATTTATTAGTTATCGCAATACGTGTGCATTTGCCTAATGTTATTAACTCGAGTTGTTGCTTCAGTATTGAAATTCTAACAATATGTTCAGTATTATATTAGATCTGTATCTAATATCACAGGTTACTTTCTCAGTATGTGTTCGTATTTTAAACTATTATTCACATAAATATTTGTCTTGACAGTTTTTGTTTCAATTCGTTCGACTAATTCACTTAATTTCATTTCCCATCTTTCTCATCACATCAGTTCATTCAGAATAAATTTGCAAATGTATTTCTGTGAAATTTCTAAATCATAAATAAGTTACTGATGGCCTAAGTGCTCATCCGCGAGTTTTTTCTCCATGAGCTGGTCCACTGACACTTGCAGGCACTTAATAAGAAGGAGCATAAGAACGGTGTAATGAGTCCTGAGAGTCCAGAACCGGAATCGGAGTATCAGCTAACTCCAAGAACGGAAGCCAAATATAGCAAAATTGACGAGGACTTCCAAATGATGTTACAGAGGAATCAGTCGATTAATGGACAAAGGGTTAGTCCAATTATAGTTCATTTATGTGCTGTTTTATGTGCTATGTATCTAGACTGATTCAAAAGATTGCAATCAAACTTATTTTTAGATGGGTTCATCTAATTACTCGCAACCTGTGTCAGTTCCAGTAAACATAAGTTACAGTGATTCAGGTCTTCTTCAATCTAGTCCTCAAATGGCCCATACTAGCATTAGTCCCAGGCCGTCTTCTTCCGAAACGGACTCCGTCTATCCTAGCGGGGGAATGTTAGAAATGAGCAATGGGTAAATATGTTTTGTCTTCTTATAGAACAATATTTAGGAACGTTACGGAATACGAGACACGTTGCTTACAAACTATTACTATCACAAAATACACCTTAATTTTAATTGTATAAGCAGATTGTTGTATTTTAAATTAGAAATTATATGTTTAGCTACCCGAATTCCTCATCACCTATTGGCGGTTCGCCATCTCCAGGACCAAGCCCTGGTCCTGGAATGAGTTCATCCAAACATCAAAAGCAGCTTTCACCTAGCCATAGGTCTAACCTTCGGGTTGTTATACCTACACCATTAGGATCCAGCATCACAACGGACGAAGTGTCCTATGCAGAAGTACGTATAAGTACAATAAATTTCACGTTTTCATTATTTTCATAGCTTTTGTGCTTCATTAGGTTCATAGGTTGCTGGAACTGGAAATGTTTCTAGCATGTCTCCAGAATAAGTATTTAAATAGAAAATCGTTTTATTACAGCATAATCGATCACAGTCAGCTTTAAATACGCCAGTTGTAGCCTTACAAACACCAGGACTAGGTTATCCAGGGGCTCTTAGTTCATTTGGCGCGCAGGACTTTACCATTGGTTCCGATATGACGTTAACCTCAATGCCTTGGAGCGGGCATCAAATGGTATCCGCTCTAGCACACAGTGGAGGAGGAAGCAATTCCAGTGCTGGGTGTCTGCCCCATCTCGCAGTGTCCAGTAGTACGCCACCACCCACTGCTGGCTCCCCTCTTCCTGTTAAAATTAAAAGTGAACCCATCTCACCTCCGAGAGACCATCACCCGCATCTTTCAAGCACTGCCGTCCACCACTCACAAACGCATGTGCAGACCTTAAACTTGACGCACAGTGGGCATCATCCCAGGCCGAGTTCGGCTGGTCATATAACTCATTCGCCTGGAAATGTAACTCCAACCAATTTACCTTCCCCAACCCCGCCTCCGGGACCTTCGTCGCAGCCTGACTACGACTCATCTGCTGTCCAACTTCACAAGAGGCCGCGGCTTTCTGATTGGCCGTCATAGGCTTTGTGGTACCCGCGTGGTACCGACCAGTGCCATAGTGATAACATGTGGAAGTGGACAACTTAAACGCCATCTACGTTTAATTGCCCTGGTTAGTTTGGGTAAGGATATGGTCGATATTAATACTATTGCCTTGTCAATCTCAAAATTTATTACGCCGGTGTCTCTAAACCAGTCCTATTCAAACTAATACATTAATTGCCAATTTGTCATCCCATGTGATAAACTTCGAGTCTAGACATTATTTTAAAAGAAAAACTGAACATTTTAAATTCTAGTAATATACAAAGTGAATCATTAAAAAAAATCGAGAAGTAGAAGTATAGACGTTGCATGTGTATGAGTGGTTGTGTGAAATAGAGTGAAAGTTTTTTTTATAAGAATGAACTTCTAAGGTCATGGTGCAAAATAGCTGTTACTGGATAACGCTTGATTACCGAGAGCATATCTTCTTATACAACAATTTTGTATAGATTTACGTTTTATTTATGTGCGTTTATTTTTCAAACTTAATTAGTCTCTCTTAGTATCAATCAACAGAGTGGTCAGGTTACATATTGAGCACATCTTCTAGGGCAAAATATTGGTCATTGCATAATGCGACAATCGTGTTACGTGTTTCAAGAACAATATAGCAAAATTATTTTTCTGTTTCTGTTTATCTTAAATTTTCCATAGTATTACAATCACAAAGCTTGTTAATATACTTAGCTACTTAGCGGTCTTTTCAATGATGCTTTGGTTTATAGAGGTATACTATTATGGTGCTATAAAATAACGTAGCTGTTAAATTGAACAATTTTTTAAGTAAAAAATATGTTTATTTTGAATTAGACATGTTGATATAAAATCTGATAATATTATTTTTGAACTTATAATTAACTGCGTTATACCTTGCAAAAGATATGGCTATTATGAAGAAAATAGCGTGCCAGTTATTAAATTATTCTGATTTAACATAATCCATAAGTATGGACATACATTTCATTTTATATTGGAAGATACGGCTCTAAATGGAATTCAGGCTTTCTGCAACTCTACTTCCAATAATTTCTTCATTCAATCTGATTTTTATTGTCGAAAGGCTCTAAGCTATAAACAATCTTTTCAGCTGACATTTAGATAACTAACTAATCGCGTAAGTTGGTGTTACTGAATTCGCAAAACTGTATACCACTTTTTTCCACTTTGATTCATTCGGAACTCAAAAAGGATCCGAATAAGTGTTATTCTGTAACATCATACTAAAAGATTTTTGACACTGCAGATATACGTGAATTAAGAGAGTACCATTGCAATCTTGCAAGTGAAGTGAGTTTCTTTATAAATGTTTTAGAATAGTTACCATCGTTTAAAGCGTACACTTGTTAGTGAGAATTCCACACTTTGATATCGGAATTGTAGCTACAAAATGCTTCCCTTTCCTTATCGATGTTATTTGATGTTAAGCTATACCCCTGCGGTTATTATCGCCAAGTCTCGAGCACAATTTTTAGGACGTGATTTTGGACCATTTGCTATAATTTTGTATTAACAGGTATAGGAATAACAGCTACTATGAATAAATATAACATCAAGTTGCGGTGTGTTGTGCGAAAATCTAATCGCTAGGCTACAGACAATTGATGTGTTTGAAACAGCCATGTTGTCATGACATAAAAAGTATAAGATGCCTTTGATGCGTATAAGATCTAGTTTGAAATAAATTGTCATATCAGAAATACCTATACATAATCTTTATTAGATATCGATGGATAAACAAAAATTCACTGTTCATTACACCTTTGAAACATTATGATACTTCAATTTTTCTGGTAAATAAGAACGGAGTATCATTTTTAACATAGAAAATGGTAGCAAATGGGTACCAATAACTAGTGTCTGTTCTGGAACGTCCTCAAATGTAAAATATATTGGTGCTCTCCCTGCCCTACGATTGTAGTCTGTCCACTGGCTGTTATAGTTCTGGGACCAGGTTCTGAAGTCAGTCCCTTTGATGCTCGTTAAGTACTGCTTCCTCAAAGAACCTAGGGTGTTCATTGTTAGAGTCCATTCGATTTGTTGGTGATTCGGTAATTGAAATGTATATTTAACAATGACACTTCAGATAAAATTTATATAAATTTGAAGTTGTATAATATTTATATTTTATCTACTGTTGTGTGCACCTAATTTGCACATAGACTTAATTTAAAATAATGTAGCGCCTTTGAAATTAGCATTTTTGGTTACACACGTATAACTAACCGTTATTTCCTGAATGTGATAAAATTATATATTTAAATAAAGATCTTAAAAATAAAGTGAATTGAATCGAAAGTTAAAATAGATTGATCCAAATTCTGATCTTACATGTGAAACCAAGATTGTAACTGGCGCGGATGAGATGCACGTTGTGTACCTGCCCGCCTAAGTGCGTGGATTACCCTCTCCACTGAATTAATTGTAGGATTGCCTTACTCACAGTGCCTCGACAGTATGTACGTACGTATTTGTATATGTAATACACCTTCGATGTCTTAACGTTAATGATGTTACGTATCATTTCTTGACGCAATTGCGATATATTTTGTTATCTATTTCAACACTCACAGGGTATTTTGCCATTTACTAACATTTTCCTCTACAGCATATTTTGCTGCTGTTTCGTGCCTTTGTTCTAAGTAAAACAGAATAAATTGACTCGATATTGGTGCATTTTATAGAAGAAAAGAAGAACAAACATAATTGTTCAAATTATCAACGGTGATTATGATGTTCTTTACTTATTTAATGCGCCGTAATGCTCAATTTATTTTGTTTCTACATTCTGTCAGACTTTAACCAAATGCGTTAATTTCTGACTCGTATAACCTATGCGGGTCAGTTTCACTAGCACTATGATGTTTCCTGTGGAACAGACAAAATAGTGTCTATTTATTCTCTTTTTGAATGGCAACAAGGTAAAACTGTTTACACGTTATTAAAGAAATCAATATTTAAGTTTAGCGTACCACATTTTCTTTACTTCGGAGATGTTTTTGTATAATTTATAAATTATTACTGTCTTATCTATTGCCTATATTTTTGACGACAAATATGCCTGCGTATGTTTTTACATATAAGGAATCTACTATAAGATCACTGTAGGTGACCAACCCATTTGACCGTTATGGTTTCAAAGTTATTTTTCAATGACTTGTTACTGTTATTGATGTTTTCATTAGTGTGACAATATGACTAAATACTACGAAGATATTTGGAGTAAATATTCTAATTTAGTTTTCGGTATTTTGAGCATAAATGTGTTAATTTTTGCCCCCTTATTCAAATGGTCGAAATACATATGTTAGTTGTACATGTAAATAGTATACTCACAATTAAATTGTTGTACAATGCCATTTAACGTTAGCTGTATTGTATATTTTATTTCTCTAACTGAAGAAGCTGTTTTCCTGGAAAATGTTGTTTCTGTTGCATTCGTTTGACGTAAGAGTTTTTTCTTCAGTCATGTGCAATATTAATCTGACATTTATTTATCTACTTGTATTGACTTTAAACCAAATAAAACTGTTTGTTACAATTAGTATTGTTTTTTTGGTTTGCAGCACGCACACAGGTAGGTATTTGAAAGTTTGTTTGCGGAAATAGTAAGTCGAATTCGAATTTCAATTTTCAATAGCAATTATTCTGTACAATATGTTTCAACAAGCTTAACTAAAGCCCTTCCGGTGCTTTGAGCGCTCTATACTCTAGCATGGTCTTGTGGCATGTACGGTGCGCCAGTATGAGAAAAAGCCATTGACAGGAGTAGGTAAGATCATAGAACAAGACTTATAATGGGGTAATATATTGTGCTCATGCTGGCGCATCGTACATATTTAACAATATTGCCAAATGTCAACTCGAATTAGTATGTAGATTGTACTTGTCTCTGGTGTGCCATTGAAATTTGAAATGTCAATTTATGATGTATAGTCTGTGGATGTATATATCATAGGTATATATGTCTATATGTCTGTAATCTGTAAATTGCGGAATGTATTATTGAGAAGGTATTGGTTTTCGTTGCTTTGTTTTCTTAAATTTAAAGCTTTAATCATGTCGGAAACTTTCGAAACTACGACTGATGCGCTACCTAGCCAACCAAGGGGCGATGAAAATAAATGGGAGTCAAATAATGGAAAGACGGCAAAGGAATATCAATCCACAGCAAATGAACGGAATAGAAGTGGCACGAATAGTCCACCCTTGCGTGGGTCAAAGAACAGCAAGAGTAAAAAGAAACCAGGATCAGGTAATTGATTTTTCTTAAGATAATGTCGAACTTCAATATACGTTGAGTGCTGGGAATAGCCAACGATATATTTACCATTATTAATATTATTATAATAAGCAGATTTAATTGGAATTGGACTGAATCATCGAATATTAGATATTGTCCATTCTTTTGTGCAAAAAGGTCTTCTTGTTTATATTGTCAGCAAAGTCACAAACATCTTGATTCTGTAATTTTGTGTTGCACATCGAAGTGAAACTTGTCATACAACACTACTTACGTGAAGTACCGGGAAAAAGGATCGATTAACCATAAATATATATGTTTTAGGAAATTTTTTTATTCACGTAGTCGATTCGCCTTATGCACATGTGGGACATGTATTTCACAGTCACAATTATAACACAGCTTGCACGAAACATTCTCTAATCAGAAAAGAGGACGATGTGAAAGAAACAGAACAAACTGCAGCTATAAAAAAAAACAAAAAACCAGTGACAAGTGAGGATATTGATGCTGTGGCATGTCACATTGGAAATGGATGGGAAAACACTTTTACGCAATTAGGTTTTGATGATAATCAGATTCTTATTTATAAACAGAAATGTAGTAAGAATGTTGAGGTAAATTTCCTGATTTGTTATCTGCTTTTTTCGGTTTGATGTTAATAATGGAATTATTTCATGGTATAGAATCCTGATAAATAGCTTGAAGCGTCAGATTTGCCGATTATACATTTTTAGATCAACAAGGCATTGTTGAGAGATTGGACGAGGAAGAACGGCAAGGATAATGCCACTGTAGGGGTTTTGGCCCAAGTTCTGTGGAATACCAACCAGAGAAAAGCTGTGAAAATCTGGGCGTCCACATACGATCTAGTTTAAATGATGGACCTTAACGTTTCTCGGTTGTTCTTGATCCTAATGCCACGTGCCAGCTGTGAGCCGACAGGAAACAGATTAACGATTTATAATTTATATATCACTCACAAATGTTCATATTTTTTATCATGTAAAAAGTTTCGTATAAAAATAAGAATTGTTGAGCCTTTAATATTAACAATATATCTATATAAACAATATATTTGATTTAAAGTCCTTCATGCAAGTATAAAAATGATTGGTATACCATTATACCTCAAAGTGTGTTGCCGTGTATTGTACGTGTAAGTGTATCTTCAGACTATGAAGGCTTTCACGGCCGGTTAAATCACATTTAGGGGGTAAATGTTTTCCGGGCTTTGAAGCCGTGGTCTATGGGAACTTCTTCCTGACGTTTCGTCCACAACTGCGGTGGACATTATCAAAGGTGATGAGGCAGTGGGCGAAGTGATCTCCCGTGCTTTCCGACTAAGACTGGTTCAACTACTGGATTCCCCGTCGTATTTATGCAGCCCAGCCGTGTGTGCTCATGCGTGGGGGATGGGTGGGGGTTCAAATGCTTCGGCGCACACGCTGTTTAGCGCAAAACGCGCTTCCAATCTGGATTGAGTGCCGTAATTTCTTCTTTTCTGTTAAAGTTGTTTTGGTGTTTAAATATTTCGATGGCCTCTCTGGTGAGTCTCGGGTAGTATCTTTCAGATTGGTGCAGAATGTCCACTTCGTCAAAGCGTATTTGGTGGCCGTCTAGCAGTGCGTGCTCCGCTACTGCTGATTTTTCCGTTTGTCCCAATCTGCAACTTCGTTTGTGCTCCGTGATCCTAGTGTTTATGCTCTTCCACAGCTGCACGGAACTCTGTAGACTCCTGGTGCTGATAAAGGATCCCGTTTGTCCTTGGCCGATCGTAAAGTCGGTTGGATGGTTCGAGTTGGTTTAAAAATGGTTTTTACTTGGTGTTTCTCCAGTATCTTGCCGATCCTGTCCGTGACTCCATGTATGTACGGGAGGCAA